GTGTTTCAAGTGTTAGTGTTTTAATACTTTAATGATATATGTGGAAGACTTTATTCTGAATTCAGTTCTAAATGCAAATTATTCTTAAGTACTCTGTCTTGACTAACATCACTTAATGTTAAAATCTGGTTCTACTACATTTTTAGAAAAGATTTGAAGACACAGGTGATCTTAAATTTGCTGTACTGTGAGAGCTCTGTGATCTCTAACCAGAACGACTTGTAACATTTTGTTCTTCTAAATAGCCGGCAATCAAATGGTGGTGACTGCCTACTCTTCCTGACTAAGCTAAAAAGAAACTTACTGCTTCATTTAATTTTGCATTTATCATTCAACAAATATTTATGGAACCCCTGAAACAGGCCAGGCATTGGTCTAAACCCTGAAAATACAAAGACGTATAATACAAAATGTCCTACTCAGGAAGATCGCATCCTTGTGATGGAGATAGACAAGTAAGGAAAGAGTTAATAGCCCATGCTGTAACACGATCATGAAATAGCATCTCTGGGGAAACAGAGGAGGAGGTGAAAGCAAAGGAAGAAGTGATTTGGTGAGATATAACAAGTTAACTATAGAAAAGGCCAAGAAAAGACCAAGTGAGAAGTGAGGACAAATCTGAGTTAAGAACTGGAAAGTGCTAATGGTGATCAAACAGGAAAGCTGGAAAAGTATTCAACTGCATCCTAGAGAATCTGGGGGAATGATCTGTTTCTTTGAATCTTCAAACACTTTCTGCAATATTATGTTCCATTTGAAACACTTGAATCATGACTGCTAGCCTACATGCAAACACATTCTTCCATGTCCCTGTGAGAAATAATTCTACCCCTAGCCAAGAGCCTAGCATTCCAGAAACGTAAGCCATGATACAGAAATCCAAATTCAATTCAACACCATCTGCATAACCAGCTGTTCACCTCCCATATTTCCTTCTTTTTTCATGTACCACATGTTCATGGGAAAAAAGAAATTATGAATGAAAATGTTATCTGTGCTTTGAAGTCCTACATTTTCATAACCCCAAAGTCATCCACTGATGTTCTCTGACAGCGTTGTTTCCGCCACCTGGAGAAGTAGATTATATTTCCTTGGGGCAGGACTCAGGTATTTGGTAACTTTTAACAAGGTCTTCATACTAAGATCCATGTGTCTGGCGATTTGCTGGAATCGTTACATTCAGCAAGCCCCTTGGCAGTTGGCAGGCACTCACCAACCACATCAGTTTCTGAGTCAGGCTCTTCTTTTTGTCCTACGCTTCTTTTCCAGTGACTTCTGTGACGTCCTGTTCACACATCTATTTATTCATCCACAAACATTTGCCTAATGTCTATTACATACTCAATAGACAACATACAACCAACAACATATCTTTCAAGTATTGTCAATTGTTCAAAGGATTTCTTTTTCCTCTTTTACTCCCCTTGGTCACTGAAGGTAATAAAAGTATCTAACTTATAGGGTATTTTTAAGTACTAAATTAAATAGTGCAAGTCAAAGACTTAAAACACAGGCTGGTGGGGCACCTGGCTGCCTCAGGTGGTAGAGCATGCGACTCTTGATCTTGTGATCATGAATTCAAGCCCCACTTTGGGCATAGAGCTTACTATCAATCAATCAGTCAGTCAATCACAGACTGGTCCATAGTAAGTATGCATTATGTATTTGCTATTAATATTATAATAATGTCAAAAAACAGGATTAATACATAGGCCATAAATGTTATGACCCACAACAACACTTTTATGAATGTAACTAATTATAAGTATTCTTATAATTGTGCCTTGTCTATTTTGGCCACACATACACACAATTTAAACAATTATCCAGTATATTAGAATGGTGTTACAGCTTATAAATGATGCAATTTGGGGGGGGGGGTTTGTTTTAAAGATTTTTATTTATTTATTTGCGAGAGAGAGAATGAGAGACACAGAGCATGAGAGGGAGGAGGGTCAGAGGGAGAAGCAGACTCCCTGCCGAGCAGGGAGCCCAATGTGGGACTCGATCCAGGGACTCCAGGATCATGACCTGAGCCGAAGGCAGTCGCTTAACCAACTGAGCCACCCAGGCGCCCCTGCAATTTGGGTTTTTTAAAATGTATAGTTTATTAAACAAAATCCAGTTGGTCTAGGATTATATTTCCTTGTCATTATAGTCAACCATTGTGGGAACAAAGGTATGATTTGTTGCTTTGTTGGTGATTTATTTTTTTAAATATAAAGTTTCTTATGCCATGGAAACACAAAGAAGAAACAACAGTAAAATAGTAATATAGTATTTAATTAGATAAATCCTAAAATTAACCTAAAAATAATAAAACTATGTTGTTGAGAGGATTTTGAAAGACAAGGTTGAGTCTGATTCTGTGATTCATGCCAAGTAGGCATTCTGAAAGATAAAGAATCTAAACATCTCATCTCTCTGCTTCCTTTTCTATCTGTTCCAGAACAGTATGTCTTCAAAGCAGCCTGGCATAACATATTTTGTGCATAATGTCTATGTGTACCTTTTGTTGTCCCAGATAATTGCTGTAGAAACCTGTGCTTCATTATGATCCTCCAAAAAGTGCATTTTTTCCTCTTTTATTTTTGATCTATGATTTCCACAAATTAAAAAAAATATATGATTAAAAATATTGCTTGAAGACTATGAACTTGACGTCAGAGGAGTCAAAGTCTTCTTCCCTTACCTGCCTTTTATCTTAAAAAAAAAAAAAAAAGATGAGAAGAATTAGGATCCTGGAGAAGTTATTGCAATATGGAAACATGTAAACATTTTGTAAGTTTATGCCATCAAGTTATCCTTGGGAGAGCCTATGGCAAGGAAGTTTTATTATGAGGGTTGTAGGACCCATTAATATGCTATAAGTCTCTCTATTACCCAGATACCCTAAGCAACCAGGAACACAGGAACAAATTTCTTCTGTTAATTTCCTCTGTTAACACTAAATAAAATAGTGCATTTTATTTAATTTTAAAAGTCTGTTTTAGGGGCACCCGGTGGCTCAGTCGTTAAGCGTCTGCCTTCCTCAGGTCATGATCTCAGGGTCCTGGGATCGAGCCCCGCATCGGGCTCCCTACTCAGTGGGAAGCCTGTTTCTCCCTCTCCCACTCCCCCTGCTTGTGTTCCCTCTCTCACTGTGTCTCTCTCTGTCAAATAAATAAATAAAATCTTAAAAAAAAAAAAAAATGGAATGGGAATGTATCTGTTTTAAAGGCTTAAGAAGTTTTGATTTTTCTCCTGCATTGAGCACGTTAGGTTGTTAGTGCTGGAAGAAACTTGGAGATCATCTTCACTGACACCTCCTTCACAGACAGGGAAGCCAAGGCCAAGAGGGTGGGAATGATCTACCCTGGTCTCCCAGCGAGCAGGGCCTGGAGCCCGGTCTCCACTCGGACAGGCGTGCTCCCCCCAGACAGCCTCCCCCTGAGCGGGGGTCTTGAAAGAAGTGATTAAATTAAAGCGAGTCCATTAGGGTGGGCCCTCACCCAATCTGACTGGTGTCTTCATAGAAGAGGAAATTCAGACACATGAAAGAGACACCATGTACAGAGAAAAGAACATGTGAGGACATAGCAAAAAGGCAGCCTCTGCAAGTTAAGGAGAAAGGTCTCAGAAGAAATCAAGCCTACTGACACCCTGATCTTAGACTTTCAGCTTCCAGAACTATGAGAAAATAAATCTGTGTTGTTTAAGCCATCCTTTCAGCGGTGTTTTGTTATGGAAGCCCTAGAAAACTAATACACCAGGAAGTCAAAAGCATAGAGACTGACTGTAATCGACAGATTAGTTTAGAAACATACATGAAACAAACCCTGGGAGTATTCAGACATAAGTGAGAGAGAGCTGAGGCCCAGGAGTCCTTCAATTTCTTCATCAGTGGAAATAGCAAGGAGAACCTCATAGGGTTTTTGTAAGGATTAAATGCTTTGATATATATATATAATAAAAATACCTATAGTTTTTTTTTTGGAAAAAACTAATTAATTTGGAAAACTAATTAATTACAGGCATTGAATATCCTACTGTTTGTAAGTACAATTTTGTACTTAACAAAAATGAGGAAGTATTCCTCAACCCGAGCACATATATATATATAACATATATATATAACATATATAACACATATAACATATATATATATATGCTCGGGTTGAGAAATACTTCCTCATTCATATATATATATATGTTATTAAACTGTGTAGGAAGACAGTGATGTATGTCTTAGCTATAGGTATTTTTATTATTATTATCATTCTGGGCAGACACTAGTCAAAATACTGACTCAGGCTTGAAAAAAATTCTTAGATGACTGAGACATGGTGAGGTAAGTTTAGCTACTCAAGTTCTCACCACCAGTATGTGGACCCAAGATTTGACCTTAAGCGTCACAGACCCATATATTATTGTTCTCCATAGAAACTAATTTATTTATGATGCCAAATAGATCAAATAGAACACTAAATGCCTAACGTATCACTAAACAGAAGTTATATTTATGTTTACAAGATTTACATTAATCCAAGTGATTTCTCCAAGTGACAAATTTACAATTAAAAATATATATACTCACTCATTTCACTACTGCAGTCTGAGAAGTAGAGAATGATACTAGTTAGACAGTGTACTGAAGCAATAGGCTTCTCTTTTTTTCTAAAAACATAGTATCTGTTAATAATAAGTAATTAAGGGAAACATTCAAAGATAAACATTTGATTGAGATAAACAGCTTTTAGAATATATTCAGAATGTGGGGCTCCTGGATGGCTCAGTTGGTTGAACATCTGACTCTTGATTTTGGCTCAGGTCATGAACTCAGGGTTATGGGATCAAGCCCAGGCTCTGCACTCAGCACGGAGTCTACTTGCCCCCTCTCTCCCCTCCCCCCACTTGTGCTTTCTCTCTCTCAAATAAAATAAACTCTTAAAAAATATATATATATTCAGAATGCTTTACCATATGTTCTTTAATAATTTTCTGTATTTTTGATTTTAAAAATTTATTCAGGAAGTAGAAATATCTGAATCCCAGATTGAACAATGAATTCTTTTAGAAGTTCTTTAATTCGCAAGCAAGTTTTTATATCTGATGGAAGAAGGCATTTTATATTTCCTTTGATGTGCATGTGCTCGGGTTGAGAAATACTTCCTCATTTTTGTTAAGTACAAAATTGTATATGCAAAGTGGTGGTCTATGGAAAGAGAAGAGAGAAAAAAATAACTATTAGTAAAAAGCAGCAAAGTTTACATTTTTTCCTCATAAACAGTAGGATATTCAATGCCTGTAATTAATTAGTTTTCCAAATGCAGAGACAAACCTTTGGCATAGTTTTCATTCCATCTCATTTGGCTATACCGGGATGAAGTAGACACAATGTTTATGAAAAAGAAAAAACTCTCTGTGTTTCAATTTCTTCTCTCCCTGATGCTTCATTGGGATATTTACTTTATATGGGAGATATTTTTGGATACTGAAAGAGCTGAAGCCTGAACGCAATGCTTAGTGGCTGGGCCATTTTTTTCTACCGTGATAGCCACCATTAAAGAATGGGGCTTAACTGCATACACAGATTTTCTAATAATCTAATCAGTCCTCTTTTCCGCCTACTAAAGTGGAGATAATAATGAGTAAAGAATCTATATCTTGGAGAGATTGTATATTTAGCATTTGAAGACGCCTGAAAAGTCAAGTCACTGTGATGAATCGGACATCTTGTCTAGTTTTTATCTTCCTGTTAATGTCTAAAAAAACAAACAAACAAACAAAAAAACCTTAAAAAGGTAATCAAGTAGGATAAGAAAAGATGGGTTAAAGTTCAGGAAAGGAGCTAAAGAAAAATATGGTTGAAATAAATGGAAATTTCCTATGTGAGCAATAGCAACTTAGTCAAGGAAAAGGGGCAACTCAGCTGCACGGGGGCTGACAGCTCACCTTTGCTTGAAAAATGCATTGCTCTAGTTCAAGATGTACATTGCTCCCAGGCTCCTAGCTTGGTTAGGATACCATCGAACAAGTTTTTTAAATATTCAACAGCTTTTTTAGGTTGAGTTATTCAATTTTCAAATAAATCAATTTTCTACATTTGTTAATGTGTTTAAAAGTAATAAAATATAGACATTCATTTTTTATTATAAAAACTGATACAGAATTCTACAGTGTCTTCCATTTGAAATAATAAAGGCATCTTGAAATTTTAATTTTGATACTATAACAGTAAATGTAAAATGGTAATATTTCAATCTTATAAGAGTTTTAGGTGTCAGCAAAAGTAGTTTTTTGTTATGTTATCAAACATCATCAACCTCCCTTCTTTATTAAGAAGTAAGTGTGGGAATGACTTCACCACGTTTCCAAACAAATGTATATATACTTACGTCAATTCTTTATATATCCCGCCATACCCCTAAATTACTGAATGTGCCTTCACTGTTCTAGATCTCCCTGATCCGCCGCATTTTTCAGTTGTCACTGTAGGACAAGTGTGTCATTTAGACTTATTAATAGGTAAATTACCTCAGCCTTAATCATTGTATTCACATATTTACAATATAAAACAGGGCAAGTGTGTTTTTATTTCTTTTCCACAAGAAAAGCTCACAACCCCATTTCCATTAAGATATGTTCAATTAGTAATATAATAAATGCATATTTTTGAATTAAATATTCCATATTTTACAAAGTCTTTGCAAGCATGACAAGACAGTTCAGGCAGGTTTACAATGCCTACCCAAAGTTAATTTTCACCAAAATGTGTGAGAAAAATTAATTTTCTTGGTTTTTACATTGTGAAAAGCCTATCTACTTCTTCTGCCATGTTTCTGAGTTTGACATCATTTATTCTAGGTTATTAATAGTTCCTTCTCTCCAACCAATATAAATTTTTAAAAACTATAATTTAGAAGAAAACGGTGTTATATGTTCAACCACCATGCAAAGATTATTATATGCTGATTTTTTAATTTCAAAAAGAGCACTGAATATTGCATTTCTAATGTTTTACTTACCACAAATTAGTGAAATGAATACATTACTTTGATAAAGTATCTAAATAATAAAAGAAATCTAGTGATAAAAAAACTCTAAGATTTAAACACAATTCATTTGTTTTATTTTAATCCATCTATTATTCCAAATGATAAGACATACATATACTTAAATAAGTATATGTATAAGACATACATAAACTTATTTGAAAAAGCTCCCCAGGGCTTTTGTACAATATATCACCACATCCAAGCTTATAATTTTGTTTTTAAAAGTTACTTAAGGTTCTGAGCACTAACCCAAGTTGCATGTTCCCAGCCAGATGAGAAAAGCCAATATTTCACAGGTCCCTGGGGAAAGTACATGGGAGGTTCTTGCCTCAGTAGTAGGAGTAATTAACCCTAGGTTTAGGGTTACTCTGGGCCTGCCTAATAAATTTTGAAAGCAGGACCTGAAAGAATCAACCTGTTTATAAGAACTTAACATCTTCAGAATAAACCTGAAGAATATTTACAGAAATATAAAAATATAGAGCACCCAACATAATAAAATGCACAAAGTGTGACAGCTAATCAAGAGTTACCAACATGCAAAGAAGCAGGAAAATGGGCCCATCTGAGGGTCACCATTGAAACCAACCCAGAACTAGCACAGATGAGAGAATCAGCAGAGGACATTAAAAGAGTTATTATAACTTTAGTCCAGGTGTTCAAATAGTTAAATAGAGATATAAGAGATATAAAAAGATCCTAATCAAACTTCCAGAGGTAAAAACTACCATGTCTGAAATGAAAAATGCCATGCATGGGATTAATAGCAGATTAAACATTGCAGAATAATAGTGAACTTGAAGCCATAGCAACAGAAACTATTCAAAATAAAATACAGAGAGAAAATGAAATTTAAAAATTAACGGAGCATCGGGGAGCTGTGACATAACCTCAGGCAGCCTAATGAACTTGAAATTGGAGTCCCCAAAGGGAAAGGAGAGAGAAGGGACTTGGAAAAATATATTTCAAAAAATAATTATGATTTTAGATGAAATTTGATGAAATCTATAAACCTATGGGTCCAAGAAGGTCAACAAATGCCAAACACAAGAGGTATGAAGAAAATTACAAGTCACATCATAACCAAACTGCTTAAAATCAGTGGTAAGGAGACAATCTTAAAATCAGCCAGAAAACAAACAAAAAAAAGGCATATAATCTTCACAAGAACAAAGGAAGGAGAGTAACAGATTTCTCATTAGGAGCAATTCATGGTAGAAGACAGTCCAGCAACATCTTTAACTAACTGAACTTAAAAACAAACAAACAAACAAAAAAACCCTGTCAAACTAGACATCTATATCCAAAGAAATGAAGGCATCCTAAAGACTTTTTCAGATACACAAAAGTTGAAAGAATTCACACCCAGCAGACCCACACTACCAAATAAAACAAAACAAAACAAAACAAAAGCCAACCAACCAAACAAAAAACCTTAAAGGAATTCCTTTAGCCCAAAGGTAAATTATACCACATAAAAATATGCAACCACTTAACAGTTCTGAGAAGTGCATCAGAAATAGTGACTTTTCCTACTCATTTATATCCCTTTAATAGATTAACTCTTTAAACAAAAATGATATACTGTATTATGGAGTTTTTAGCATATGTACAAGTAAAATGTATGCTAACAACACAAAAGCTAGGATGGGAGAAATGAAATTATTCTACTGTAAACATTCTCATGTTAAATGTGAAGTGGTAAAATTCACTTGAAGGTAGACTCTGATAAATTAAGATTATAATATGAACCCCAAAGAAACCACTAAAATAATCAAAGAGTTAATAATAATAATAATAATAATAATAATACCACCACAGTAGGGAAATAAAATGTAATCATAAGACTACTCTTTATCCAATAGAAGGCAGACAATGACAAAACTGGGTACGAAAAACGGGACAAATAGAAAACAAAATGGTAAGATGATAGTTTTAGGCCGAACCACATCCATAACCACATTAAACTAAATGATGTAAATATCTTCAAAAATGGCAGAAGCCATCAGCATCATTCACCATTTGAGAAATCCAAATTAAAAACACAATCTCTATACACCTATTAGTATAGGGAAAACAAAAACCAAACAACAAAAACACTGGGGAAGGTGCAGTCTTTGATGATGCAGGAGAGCAATGGAACCCTGCTAAGTGCCAGTGGGAATGCAAAATGTACAGTCACTTTGGAAACAGTCTGGCAGTTTCCTCTAAAGTTAAACATACACTTAACAGTATGACCCAACAATTTCACTTCTAGGTATTTATCCATGAGAAATGAAAGCTTATGTTCACATAAAAACCTACATGCAAATATTTATGTTGGGTTTATCCATAGATAGATATCAAAAACTGTGAAAGAACCATATGTCTTCAAACTGGTAAGTGGATAAACAAACTGTGGTATATACATACAATGGAATGCTATTCATCAATAACATTTCATTGGTATAAGCAACAAAATGCATAAATTTTGAATGTACGAAGCTAAGTGAAAAAAGCCATACTGAAAAGCTACATATTATTCTGATTCCATTTATATAATGTTCTGGAAAAGGCAAAACTAGAGACAGTGGTTGCCAGGGGGTAGGAGTGGGGTTGAAAATAAGGGGGTAGCACAAGGCAGTTTTTGTCATTGATGGAAATGTCCTGTATGTTCAATGTGATTGTCGTTATATGACTTTATGAATGTATCAAAACTCATAGAACTATATACCAAAAAGAGTACTTTTTACTGTTAAGTGTTAAAAAGCAGCTTTAGTCCAACTTTTCTCAAGAAGTCATCCCAGGTCACCTCCACTGTGAATATTCCTCTCAGTCCCTAAGTTCAAAGGCCCTACTCTACTGGAAACTCCCTGAAGGAGAACTATGCTGTAGTGTCTATCAGAGTTTGCTACAGGGATAATTACTAGTTGAATGCAGACACAGTTTATCTGGACCATAAGGCATCACATTTTTAAAACTCACATTCCCAGTAATTTGGCAGTGCTAATTCTCATTAATTGCACATTATCTGTATGGACAGATTTAAATAGGAAAAGCAACTAAACGGTTATGGCAATTATCTAGGTAATTAAACTTAGAGTATACATTTCATCCAAGCATCTGTTAGCATCCGCAGCCAGCAGGGAATGTTAAGAGTCTTGCTAACCATCCACAA